ATGTCTCTCACTAAGCACTTGCTCTTGCCCTTTTTATATCTATTTCTTCATTTTCAGCATGGGCCATGTCAATGGGATTCCCCTAACCAACCACAATAGCTGGGATATTCCTGGTATCTTCGACTCTTCCTTGTTCTGACACAGAAGGTACCTGAACATGTGCTTAAACTGTGTGCAAAGCCACATCGCAGGTTGTCAATAGGATTTTGAGGTGTGGCAACAGAGTTAATTCCTGACAATGAACCCAGATGGAGTTTCTGGCCCATAGCCCATTGCAGTGAGTCACAAGGGACTGTACAGAAAGCTGGGGATTTCCTGTACTTTATACCAAAAGACAGAGAGAAAGAGAGACACACACAGACAGAAACAGAGACAGAGAGAGCTGATAGAAGACATCAAGAAAAGCTACAAAGCCAAACTGTTGGAAACCTGAGATGTTCTAAAAGGTAAATGCTGACAATATTTCCACTGATCACTATGCTCCTAACTAGATATTTACAACAATCACAAATCAAATGAGGGAAATGTTTTAAATTGTTTCCAGACAGTTGTTGAGGCCAGGAACAGTGAGAAATATCTTTAAGGATCCATATCTAAAAAAATTAACAAAGAGTGAGGCAACTTGCTTTCGTGTAGTATCTTTCCAGTATAACGTCCCAAAGGGCCTCACAGGAGCATCATTTAAGTTTGGCACCATCAAAGCAATGAGCATAAGCTTGTTGAAACCGGTTGGAGCATCTTAAAGGAGGCCATTGAGGTAAAGAGGGGGAGAGGGGTAGGGAGGGAATGACAGAAGAAGGTGCCAAGGAGGCTGTGAGTGAGCAACCTGTAGAAAGGGTTACACAGGGCAGGCTCAAGAGGCTGGAGTGAAAGGGGGAGAAATCCTGAAGCCTGTGGGACTGGAGGAGATTCCGGAGATAGGGAGGGGATGGAGCTGTGCAGGGATTTTAGAAACAGGACGAAACTGTGAGCTCAGCAGCAGCAGCAGCAACATTAACCTGTGTTTCTTGGCAGATAGCACAAAAAGAAGTCATCTGAAGAGATTGGTGTAAGGTAAATCAGACAAGTACTGACACCAGGAAGCTGTGGAGAAACGATTGAAACAATACTCAGATTTAAACAGAGAAAAGGTGAGGATGGCCTAAAGGAGGGGTAAGGATGGAGGGGTTGAGGGAGAGACACACTGGAGAGAGGTCTATTGAAATAACTCCACAGAGGCTGGTATCCCGTCACCAAGTCACCCTTTATTTCTACATGGAGAGTCCTTGACACTGATCCAGCTCCCTCAGAGCCAGCTCTCAGAGCTAACAGGATGTCTGACACTCCTGTTTATACCTGTCAGCCTGGGCTCCATTTGGACCAGTTTAACAGCCCCAAGCAGGGGACTCATACTCTATGAGGTCCATTGCTGACCACATTGCAGTCAATACATCTAATGTGATGTGACATGAGGGCGGCAGGCACAGATTTGGGAGGTGACAATCCATTGACTGGCATTGAGTGCTGGGCAAATATTGCCATGAAGGGAAGGTTTTTTTTGAAAGAAATGATGATTTGAGGAGAAAGTGGTCAGTAATGAGATAATTGGACACAGGAAGAAGGGGACAGTAATTGAACCTGGTTGCGGGGGATGGAGTGTGACTGAACCCTGAGGGGTAGGGGAATGGTGACTGAATCCCAGGGTGGGATGAGTGACTGAACCGTGTGGATGGGAGCAGTGACACGGCCCTGGGGGTTTGTGGGGCTGTAGGAGCTCAGCTGGGGGATTATGTGCAGTTGGGGGTGCACAACACCAGAGGTTAACTCACTAAAGGTGAGTGTACAGTGCAGATTGAACAGGTCCTTCTCCATGTGAAGACACAGATTCAGGAAACAGGGAATCACGGATGGGAATGTGTGGTGGAGTGATTGATGAAGGTTTTGAGCTCTGAACTGTTTCTGAAATCTGCTCAGGGGGTCATGGTCAGTGGGACAGAGATACAAACAACACTGAGACAGATTAGGACTGAGGGGACAGGGGTCCTCAATACATTAAGGGACATGGACATTGTCATTGTAATCAAAGGGAAAAATTTCTTCCTGTCTACCCTATCTGTGACCCTAATAACTTTGTACATCTCAGTCTTGACCCCTCTCAATCTCTTCTGCTCAAAGAAAGATAACCGCAGTCTGTCCAATCTCTCTTCAACTCTGAAACTCTCAAAGCTAGGTTTAGTCTGAAGGAAGTGCTATACATTGTTGGCGGGTCAGTACTGTGGGAGTGCTGAGGGAGTGCTGCACTGTCGGAGGGTCAGTACTGAGGGAGTGCTGCACTATCAGAACATATGACAGTGCATGTGCCCGAGGCAGGATGAGTAAGGAAGCATGTGTGAAAGAGACTAAATGTGAGGGAGAAGGAATGTGTTTGTCAGAGAGAGAGGGAGTGTGTGTAAGTATGTGAGGTTAAAATGTGTGAGTGTGATGGAGACCATTTAATCAGAGGGACAGATTTTGAGAGAGCCATTGTATATCAATGATTGGGTGGGCAGGGGGCAAGTGAGTATGAAAGAGGAGTGTGTGAGAGAGGGAATTTGTTTATATGACAGAATGTGTGTGAATTGTATGGAAGTGTGAAAGAGTGTGTGTGAGAGTGAATGTAAGTGTGTGGGACAGAGTGTGTGACAGAGTGAATTTCTGCAACTGTGTGTGTGAGAGAGTAAGAACGTCAGAGTGTGAGCTAAAGAATGTTTGTGTGAGACAGTGCATGAGTGACTGAGAAAGAGAGAGTGTGAGAGATAAAAAAATGTGTGGATGAGAGAGAGAGCATGAGTGATTGCGAGGGAGAGTGAGTGTGATAGAGAATATATGCTTGTATCTTGTCAGGCAGATTCAGGCTGTGGGTTTGGGTTGTAAGCCTGTAATCTGACAGAGAGACTCAGGTTGTGGGTGTGTTGTCAGGGTCCATATTCTGTCAGTGTTCAGCCTGTATCTTGTCAATGGTCAGCCTACATCGCTGCCTGTGTTGTATCAGTGGTTAACCTGTATCTTGTCAGCCTGTATTGTAACAGTGGTCAGCCAATGTTTTGTCAGCGGTCTGCTTGCATCTGACAAACTCGAGGTTTGAGAGACAGAGGACTGTGAACTGAGATACACACTATTCTTTTCCATATTTGTAGAATTTATTCAGTACATTCCTTGACCCTGAGTTGCTGCAGATGTTCGCCAAAACAAACCTTCCTGGAGAGTAGTTAAACCAGACCGATCTCTTACCGATCAATCAGCCTCCAATCACAGCTTACTACCTGATTTGGGGAAATAGCAAGAATCTGAAGCAAACACACTGTGTTTTGACTGTCGGTCGGTGCAAGGAATGTGAGAAACCAACTTTTCATTTGAGAGAGAGAAACAGAGAGCGAGAGAGAGAAAGAAACAGAAAGACAGGACAGAGAGAGATAGAGAAAGACTAGAGAGAAAGAGACAGAATGAGAAAGACAGAGAGAGAAAGAGGCAGAGAAGAGAGAGGGAGACAGTCAAAAACAGATATACAGAAAGAGAGAAAGACATGTAGAGAAACAGAGAGGGAGATAAACAGAGAGAGACAGGGAGATAATATGTACATATATAGTTAGAGAGAGAGACAGACAGGGAGAGACAGAGAGAGAGATGGGGAGAGTTAGAGAGAGAGAGCGAGAGCTACAAGAAGAAAGACTAGGGAAAGAGAGAGAAGGGGAGACAGATAGAAAAAAAACAGTAGTAGACAGACTGAAATGATTAAGATAAAGGAGTTCCAGGACAGATGGAGAAAGAGAGACAAAGAAAGCTGACAGATCCTGAGGGGAAATGAGCTTGGATTTTGCCATAAATTGATCTTGAAGGGATCCTGCACATTGAGTGAACATTTAACCCTTTGCACTCGAGGTTGTTTTTTTTTTTGAAAAACATAGTTTCAGTAATGAGATGTGGGTGTCAATGGCTAAGCCAACATTTATTGTCCATCCCTAGAATGAACCACATTGCTGTGAGTCAGGAGTCACATGTAGGCCAGCAGGTTTCCTTCCCGAAAAGGATTAGTGAATCAAATGAGTTTTTATGACAACCAGTCACCATTAGGCTAGCTTTCAATTCCAGATTTTTAATCAGTTTCAAGTTTCATCATTGATTTGCTGGGATTTGAACCCATGTCCTCAGAATAACATGCTGGCATTCTGGATTACTAGTCCAGTCACATTTCCGCAACACCAGTGCTTCCCCAATGACCCTGCCTTTCCGATGCCCGATGGACATACAGGCAGTTCATCAGCATTGCCAGCGATGAAGCAGGATATTCTCAATCTACCAGAAGGTCCCAAAGTCTGTTCCGGGAGCTGCTGTGGGCAGATTGGTGTTTTCCCATCAGTAGAAAGCCCTAAAGCAGGTGGAGACAATAGGAAAAGCGCGATGAGCTGCCTGGGATCTGAGGCTTCTTTCTTTATAAATGTGCACCGCTGTTAGCCCACATCCGTTCTGTTCACAATCTCTTATAGATGACATGCATTCTCCCATTCATTCAGCCTGTCCAAATCACAATGAAGCATCTCTGCATCCTCCTTCCAGCTCACCTTCCCACCCAGCTTCATCTCTGCAATGTCTGTCCCTCGTCTCTGCTTTCTCTCTTGCCCCTGCGTCAGCCATCTCTCTGTCCCTCATCCCTGCTGTTTCTATAACTGTCTGTCTCTCTTGATCTCTCTCTCCCACTTCTCTGCTGATTTTTTTTGCCGTTGGCTCAGCTCTATCTCTCATCTCTGCTGTCTCTATATCTCTCTTCTCTTTCTGTCTCTCTTCAGCGCTCTCTCTCTCTCACGCCCCCATCTCTGATGTCTTGATATATGTCTTCTTCCTGTCTCTCTTTATCTCTCCTCTCTGCAGTCTCCCTGTCCCTGGTGTCTCTGATGCCTCTCTCTCTCACTGTTCCCTGCTGTCTCTTTCTCTCTCGATTTCCCTCCCTTCCAGGTTCCTGCTGTTTGTCTTTCTCTCCCTCCCTCTTTCGTCTCTCTCTTTCTCTGCCTCCAGTCTCTCCTGATCTTGCTCAATCCCTCTCTTCTCTTCCGGGTGTGTTCAGCATGCACATTGCTCCTCCCTTCTGCACACCTACTCCTACCCACCCACCCATTCGCTCACAGTCACCAGGCTGTGTGAGAGGGGGATTGTTCAAGTCACTTGGCTGCTGGTCCTAGACAGGAACGCGCCTGCATTTTAACTGAACCAGAACTTCACAGTTCCACACAGATCCACAGTCGTATACAGCCAGGAGCTAAATTCCATTACACTGCAGTCATCTCAGCTCTGCCAACGTTCTGGCTTGCCTTCAAAATACTCAGTGCCTCTTGGGAGTGTGTTGTGAGTTTAAGCCAAGCCACTTGGAGTCTAAAGTTAGCACAGGCTGGCTAAAAATAGTCCTTCATGTCAGAAGTTGCAAGCGAAATGAGAGTGACTTTCTCACTGGTCCCAGGAAGTTGAACGAATTTTTTTTTAGTTGCAACGAGCTTGACTTTAACGTGTAATTGGTTAAATAAACAGGAAGTTTTAGTCACTGTAAGGTCTTTGACGTCAGTTGTGAAAGCATCAAACTTACCACAGTGGGAGCTCTGACACTCAGCGAGGGAGCAGTCGGAACGGGAGAGAGACTCCCTCCCACAGACAGCGTTCAATGACACTACCTGAGAGAGTCAGAGGGACTGAGCAAGTAGCGAGGCAGTGCTTTCAAACGTGTCTCCGGGCTGCTTCACACACATGCTGAGGTGAGTCTGTGTCTGTCTGTCTGTGTGTGTGTGTGTGTGTTCAGTCACCAAACTGTCTTGTGCTGGGCTTTGACATGTTCCAGACTGCGGCCTTCCTCAGGTGGGTCCAGGCTTGATCCGGGAAAGGGCGGATTGGCGGATGACACAACACTCCCTGTACTTTAACTGCAGCTTGTGAAGGAACTCAGACATTTCATCACCTAACGCCTGGCTGCGTTCACTCTTTTTTGGGGGAGGGAATGGAGAGGGGTGAGGCGTGGAGAAATGATTCGCTGCTGTCTGCTCCTGCTACAGCCGGTGTGTCTGTCTCAATGTGAGTGAGAAGGCAGGTCGGGTGAGGTGGAGGGACGTGAGGGAGGAAGGTGGGGTTGAGGGATGTGAGGGGGGGAAGGCAGGGGTGGAGGCACGTGAGGTGGGGAGGAAGGCGGGGGTTGAGGGGAGGGTGAGGAGGGGGCGGTCGGGGTGGGGAGAGGAGGGGGCGGTCGGGGTGGAGGGTCGTGGGCGGGCGAGGAGGGGGGAAGGCGGGCGTCGGGGGCGGGCGAGGGGTGGTTCGAGGGGTGGTTCGAGGGGCATGAGTGGGGTGGGGGAGGCAGGGGTGAAGGTTATGGGTGAAACTCTAGGTCACCTAGCTTGACTTCTGTCACAGGGAAGGTGTTACAATTCAGTTCTTGTGGGACACACAGAAAAGCTGAAGGTAAGCAGGTTTGTGAAATGGAAATCACATTTCACCAAACTTTAGAATGTCTCTGAAAGAGCACCGTGTGTTGGACATAAGGGGGGACATTTTGACATAGTGGACTTAGATTTCCAGATAGTGTTTGACAACTTGATGGGATTGTGCCGTAGGCCCCTCAATAGTCAGAGAGAAATTAAGAACCAAATATGTAGAGAGATCTCAAATATATGTTAATAATAAGGTTATATTGGTAGGTATTTTAATTTTCCAAACATTGACTGGGACTGCCACAGAGTTAAAGGTTAGGATCATGAAGAAATCGTTAAATGTTTTCAAGAAAATTTTCTTTATCAGTTTGTAAATGTTCCTACTGGAGAAGGAGGAAAAGTTGACTGTGCAGCGCTGGCTGCCCTGTTTATAGAAAGAATTTTATTAAACTAGAGAAGGTTCAGAAAAGATTTACCAGGATGTTTCCGGGAATAGAGGGTTTGAGAAATAAAAACAGACTGGAAAGGCCAGGACCTTTTTCTCTGGAGCATAGAAGGTTGAGGGATGACCTTATTGAGGTTTATAAAATCATAAGGTGAATGACGAGGGTCTTTTCCCTAGGGTGGAGGAGTTCAAAACTAAGCGCCATATTTTTAAGGTGAAAGAGAAAGGTTTTAGAAAGATCAATGGGTTTTTTGATTTTCTTATCATGTGTACTGAAATACAGTGAAAATCTTTTTTTACGAGCGGTACAGGCAGATCACAGCAAGGAAAGGATGTACAGATCAAAAAGATGTAGAGGCATACAGGTTACATTATTTGAGGCTAGAGTTCATTCGACAGTATGATAACAACCGGAAAGAAGCTGTTCCTGAAAATGCTGGTGCGTGCATTCAAGCTTCTGTATCTTCTGCCTGACGGAAGAGGTTGTAGGAGATCATTTCAGGGTGCGATGGGTCTTTGATGATGTTGGCAGCCTTTCTGCGGCAGCGAGCCATGTAAATAGAGTCCGTGGATGGAAGGTTGGCTTCCCTGATGGTCTGGGCTGTGCACACCACCTTGTATAATCTCTTATGGCCCTGGGCAGAGCAGTTGCTGTACCAGGCCATTATGCACCTAGACAGTATGCTTTCAATAGTGCATCTGTCGGAGTTGGTGAGGGACCTTATGGACATGCCAAATTTCCTGAGCCACCTGAGGAAGAAGAGGCATTGTTGTGCCTTCTTGATTGTCGCATTTACATGGGAAGTGCAGGACAGGTTGTCGGTTATTGTCACTCCGAGGAACTTGATGCTGTTCACTCTCTCAACCTCAGTTTCATTGCTGTAGATGGGGGTGTGTTCTCCTCCTTTCTTTCTGAAGTCAATGATCAGTTATTTAGATTGGCTGATGTTGGGAGACAGATTGTTTTCATTGCACCACATCACCAAGCCTCAATTTCCCTTCTGAATTTTGACTCGTAGTTGTTAAATATCTGTCCCACTACAGTGATGTCATCAGTGAAGGTGTAGATGGTGTTTGTTTGGAATTTGGCCACATGGTCGTAGGTGTACAGGGAGGTTGAGGATGTACCCTTGGGTTCCAGTGTTGAGTGTTACTGTGGAGGAGGTACAGTTACCTAACCTCACTGATTGCAGCCTAAGGGTCAGAAAGCTGAGGATCTAGTTGCAGAGAGTAGAGCTAAAGACTAAGGTCACGCAGTTTTGAGATCAGCCTGGAGGGGATAATGGTGTTGAAGGCAGAGCTGTAGTCAACGAACAGGAGTCTGACGTAGGTGTCCTTGTTGTCCACATATTCCAGGGATGAGTACAGGGCTAGGGATATGGCATCCTCTGTGGACTTGTCATGTCAGTAGGCAAACTGTAGGGGATCGAGGCAGGCTGGGAGACTGGAGTTGATGTGGGCCATAACCAGCCTCTCGCAGCACTTCGTGATAATTGAAGTCAGAGCTATTGGGTGGTAGTGATTAAGGCACACAGCGTGTATTTTCTTGAGTACAAGGATGCTGGTGGTCGTCTTGGGGACTTTGGCTTGTAGCGGGGAGAGGTTAAAGACGTCAATGAATACTTCCACCAGTTGGTCCGCACAGGATCTGAGTGCTTGGCCAGGGATGCCATCCTGGGCAGCATTTTTACACAGACAGCAGTTTGCGTGTGGAATAAACTGCAGGAGGAAGTGATGGATGCAGGTCCGGTTACAACGCTTAAAAGACATATGGCTAAGTTCATGAATAGGAAAGGTTTGGAGGGAAATGAGCCAAATGCAAGCAGATGGGACTCATTTAGTTTGGGAACGTGCTCGGTGTGGACAGGTTAGATCAAAGGGTCTATTCGGTGTTGTATGACTCTAAGTGGGACTAGTTCAATTTGGGAAACTTGGTCGGCCTGGACGAGTTGGACCAAAGGGTCTGTTTCTATGTTGTATGACTCTATGCCTAGGTGTCACATAGAAGCTATTGTGTAACATAGGTTTCATGGTGTAGGAATAACATACTGTTATGGATAGAGGATTGGCTGGTTGGCAGGAACAGAGTATGCAGAAATGGGTATTTTTCTGGTCAGCATGATGTGACAAGTTGATCATTATTTCCCATTGGAGTCTCCTTTGGGCCCTTAGCTTTTAATAATTTATGTCAATGACTTTGACAAGGGGAGAGAAGGCATGGGACCAAAAAATAGCCAATATAAAGATAGGTGGAGAAAGTATGCTGTGGAAAAAAAAAGAGAACGGTGCAGACAGATATAGACAGGTCGAGTGAGTAGGCAAATATCTGGCAGATTGAATTCAATGTGAGCAAATGTGGTATATTCACCAGGAAAAAATTTGAAAAGCAGAGTATTAAGCAGAAAACAACTGCAGTACTCTGAGATGCAGAGTTTGAGAGTATAAGTCATAAATTAGTATACAGGTACAGCACAATTCAAGGTTTGTGGGATGTTATCCTTTGTTACAAGAGGAATTGAACATAAAATTAAGGATGTTCTGTGCAGTTATACAGGACATTGGTGAGACCACATCTCAAATTCTGTTCAGGTCTCCTTAGTTAAGGAATGATGACAATGAATTGGAAGTATTTTAGAGGAGGTTGACTGAATTGATATATGGAATGAGTGGATTGTCTTGTGGACGGTGAGAAATAGGAACAGGAGAAGGCCGTTTGGCCCATTGATCCTGCTCTGTCATTCAATAGGGTCGTGGCTGATCCTTACGTCCATTTTCCTGCCCTTTCCCCGTAACCCTTGATTTCCCCCACTAATCAAGAACCTATCCATCTCAGCCTTAAATATACATTTACAGCATATTTTCTTTTAACCGGCACCGCCTTATGAACCAGCATTCTTGATAAACCTGCAAAAATTGTATCCCTGAAATAGCAGAATTTTGCCGTATTATCATGATCTCCATGGTGTCTGAGTAATCAATTGAGAGTGAGAGTGAGGAGGCTGTCTGCCTGTGCTTTATTTGAGGCACAGTTGCATTATTTGAGTGACTAATACTGCAAATAAAGTATAACAGTGATGTGTATACCACCGCATTATGTTTCTATTAGTTAGTGTGTGGTTTTACATTGATTGTGTATACCTCTGGTCCAACTGGAATATTTGATCAGCCAGAACAATCCTTATCCCATAGGTGCCAAATAATAAAAAGGTTGCTGTGTATACAAATTTCCTTAAGAAGAGACATTGAACAGGCTGGTCTTGTTTTCACTGGAGTTTAGAAGAGTAAATTTGACTGAGCTCTATAAGATCTTGAACGGTCTTGACAGGATGGATGGGGAAAGGATATTTCTTCTTGGACTGGAAGCCACTGTTTGAAAATTAAGATTGTGATGAGGAGATTTTCTGTTCTCTCTCAGAAAATTGAGGCAGAGACTTCCAAATTGCGCACAGGAAAGTGGAGGTGGCATCACTTAAAGACAGTGGGCAATAGATCCTTTTCAGGCTGGGGAATTAAGGGTTTTCAGGGGTAGTTGGCATCGTGGGAATGGAAATATGTCAGCCACGATCCAATTGAGTTAGGAGCACTCTCAAGGGGTGAATAGTCGAATTCTGTATGTTTTGTGGGTGCAAGATGGGTAGGTGAGGGTGAGTGGTGTGGGGGTGGTGGGCGAGGCTGAGGGTGGCGCGGGGGGCGGTGGGTAGGCGAGGCTGAAGGATATGAAGTACAGGTGTGATCCTGGGATATGGGAGACAGGTGGAATTGAGGGACATGAGGAGTCAGTGCGGTAGAGCGATATGGGGTTTAGGTCGAATGAGGGATATGATGAGTGGGTTTGAGGGAAAGAGGATTGGGGAAGGAGGGTAGTTGGGGTTGTGGGATATGAAGTGAAGTT